ATTGAAATGCTACGAGTGACAATGCCACGTAAGCTTATTTTTATTGCCTCATATTAGCCTCAATGTTTCATCAAGTAATGGTAATCTTTGGTAAATAACCGCGCACCGTAAGATAAATTGCTTAATCACGTGTGACGTATACATAATAATACTCTTTTTTTATGCATCGCGGTATTTCATTATATTAGTTTACCACAACTCGTTATTGACATCGCGTACGGAGATCATCCAATCGGTCGTTTGCAAAAAAAAAAAAAAAAAAAAAAAGGAAGAAAAAATGATGGTGTATTATCCAACAAAAGATAAGCTAGAAATAAAAGAGCTCCGCATTCGTTGGAAATCTTTGTGCCGAAAACTGTGCATATCATATACTGCAGATGGTCGTTACGTTTTGGCAGCTTGTAAAATGAAATCCTCTCAACTTCCTTTTTTTTTTTTTTTTCTTCTATCCACCGTATCATTTGTAGGTATCTGCTTCAAAAAGGCAACTAGCCGCGGCTTACGAGTAAAAGTTGCAGCCAAAAGAGTTTTTTTTCCCCGAACAAATGTGACGCACGAGTAACCGTGCACATACTCAGACAGGCAGGGATGAACGGACCACCTGGACATGGCCGCGGAAAAGTTTGACAAACATTTCACGCAATGAGAGCCAACGAGTTGGGGGAGGTGTACTTACGAGGGAGAAAATTTTTTTGAAATTGTTTTCGCGGTGAAAGCTCGCAGCCAGGCAGTTATCCGAGCTTTTCTGTCTTGAAGCACGAACCTCGAGCTATTTTTTTTTTTTTTTTTTTTTTTTTTTTTTTTTTTTTTNTCGAGTTGTATTGTTTTATTTCTCGGTGCTTTGCACATTACAGATCAGAGCCATGTTTATTAATTGATGTGCCGTTTTATTTCCTTGTTTTTAAAAAGACCCTCGAATTTGTTGTCCTTACCATTGTCAATGATAAGGTTTTTTTTTTTTTTTTTTTTTTTACAGGCTACAGATAGGCACTTTGCATTGAAACACCATATTTCTCTGAGATTCGATAACTCGAGCATCTCCGCAATAAACGGCACTGTAAGATTGGTACCGGATACTCGTGAAACTTTTTCAAACCCAAAAGTACGTATATGGAAAACTACGTGTGGTATATAATTGAACGTTAGTTGGTACGTGCCCACGATTTACCTGTATACGCTCATACGTATAATCACACTATCTTTTAGCTATGATGAAAAAAAATACACTCTGACGCATGTGGGGTTGAAAAAAAAAAAAAAAAAAAAAAAAAAAAAAAATTACGAGTGCGTGTAGCACGAAAAAAACATCAAAGGAATAATTGGATGCTTTACCCATGTTACACATATATACCGACTTCAGAAAAAGCACAGAACTATACGTGATTAACAAAATGTGCGTTGCGCACACACGTACATGACGTACAAAACAACGTGAAAAGTACATATGTTTATAATTTTCAGTAGAGGGTGGCATCACTACCAACGCAAGCCTACGTAAATATACATATATTTATATATGTATAAGTGGAAGGATTACTGGCCTTGGGGCAGGCCGGGAGGAGGGGCACCGTGTGCCGGTGCGCTGCGAAAGAAGAACGTCCCCCTGGAGCCACCGGCAAAACTGTCGGCCCGCACTCCTCGCTCGAGTTGTTTCGACCTGCAATTGATCTCCCAGGTATTGATTGCCTATCGTCCTTTTTTTTTTTTCACGCCCGTAAAACAATATGTACATCTATTTATACCATCAGGTAACTACATGTTTTTTTAATACACTTGCTTACACTCCACTGGCTATTGTCGTGAATTAAACAATTTGAAGGGTAAAAATCACCATTCGTCTTTAGATTGAAACAATATTTTGCAGCGCATCCCAAATAACCTTCGTTGTCAAATTGTACAAAAGCCAAGCGTCGCCCGATGTTTGATCGATGCACCATAGTTCCTTCCGAACAAGCATTTTATATATAGCACATGTAGTTTTTTAGACTATTGTTCGAGTCACCGCTAACATCACATCGTAATAGTATTGGTGCTCCGTTTTCATCGTTCATTATTTGTCACGTTTCGGGTTTCGTTCCAAAGTGCAGTATAACGCCTTTAATGTCAATTACATTAACGAAGCGGAAAAAGAAAAGCGCGTTACTTACTGTCATCAAAAAAAACGTACACCCGTGCACACGAATTTCGCGATGTGGTGAAAAAAAAAGCAGAAAAGTACACGTTTCGATGAGCTTGGTAAAAGCTTTGGACTCGCCGGTAGTAGCTTGAAAAAGTCCAATAGATGAAATGCGTGTTTGTAGAAGTAAAGGATCAAGGAACAAATGAATATGTATATATGTTTAAGGGATGGCAAGGCGAAAAGGATTGAAATTAAAAAAAAAAAAAAAACGATCCCATCATTTCCCAATAGCGGGGCTAAAACAAACTCGTGGATGATAATACTTGGATGAATACGCCATCGTGCAAATGACAGGGGACCATTAAAATAAATTACGAGTCAAGCCGTACTCGGTAGTAAACGCACTCTACCAAGTTGAAATCGAAACCAAATTACTATGATTTTTTTCCCCCCCTTTAATTATGAAACCACGTCCACAAAAGAGACAATAGTATGCTTTTGCTCCACTACTGAGCTTTTTATTTGTATGGTCGCGGCAGTTCGCTGTAAGCCAACATCCTGCACCTGTATAGATGCATATACGATACTGGTGGTGTGACTGTTGCGAGGTGCGCTCATCCATCGGAGAGGTTTACCTACCCATACTTGAGCGACAAAATTGCATATTCATGAGCGAAAGAGTATAATCGTGCGTATATATATGCACATACAAGCAAAATGTATAACAATAAGCGTATATGCATGTATAAGGTACAGCCATAGAATATGGAGTACAAAGTGCGGGCATCACCGCGACGAACGACGTTAGCCAACAAGATTTAATTTGAAAGTTGGTTGGTAGACAGGTATGTAACAACAAAGTCCCACGGTTGGGGTATGGATTTATACGTGGAGTTTATTCAAGCAGCGAGGCTTTGCTTGGTTGTAATTGGTGGCTCGTAATTAATGAATAATAGAGGGAGATGAGCTTCTGTTCCACGCGGCGGATCCTCAAAACGTCGCCGGTACCAACTACAATACATATAGAGGCGTATATGTATATACCTGGGGACAAGGGTGAGGGGAGGAAACTACACGAGTATGGAGAGAGAGAGAGAGAGCTACGCACTAGGTAGAAATGCTCAAATGAGAATGCGAGGCTGATTAAGCTTGGCACCCCGAGCACTCGAGAGCGCGCGCACTGCCACCGCAAACGCTAATCACTGCGCATAATATATACATTATACATATATATATATATATAGGTGTACTTGTCGGGCGGTCGCGTGTACATTGTACGTATAGGTTGTACGTGCGCGTATAAATGTACGCGTGCAAACTTTACGGCGCAGTTACGGCGGGTTTCACAGTAATAAGATGGAACTCGGTTTTGGTTTTGGAAATCTCGTTTCGCGACGATGTATAACAACGGGGGGGGGGGACCAGCTTCCGGGAGAAACTTTATTCCGTCGCTTCTAATCGGTATATCACGTAGGTATGATGTTAGAGAAGTTGAAAATCCAAAAGCTTGAACGGCCAAGGGAGTATACAGCAACGGGGGGGTTGGCTCGTCGAGAGCTTTGCCGTTGAAACATTCGTTGAAGCGCTCGAGTCGAGCGTTAGTATTATATACAAGTGTGTTACGAACAATCATCTATCTGCACTTTGGTCCTAATGTGTATGTATATCCAATCGAGTTGTATTGTTTTATTTCTCGGTGCTTTGCACATTACAGATCAGAGCCATGTTTATTAATTGATGTGCCGTTTTATTTCCTTGTTTTTAAAAAGACCCTCGAATTTGTTGTCCTTACCATTGTCAATGATAAGGTTTTTTTTTTTTTTTTTTTTCTTACAGGCTACAGATAGGCACTTTGCATTGAAACACCATATTTCTCTGAGATTCGATAACATTATATTATGTTTCAACAACCGTTGCAGTGCAAGTATACAAGCCGTGGCTTTTGCTGTTGTCGTTTGAGCCGAGCATATTTATATTATTATGTTGTGGCTATCATATACTCTAGCTCTCGTTTAAGTTCTGCCTCGGATTGGCGGTTGTTCATAAAATCGGGCTTATTGGCCGTATCCCGTTAGTCCAATCCGTTCGATTGAGGGATCATCACACGGGAACACGGATTATTTGTGCGTGAATGCACAGGCATATACGCAGGCACGGCATCTGATGTTTTCCAACGAGAAGACGAGCTGCTCGAAACAACAGAAAAGTTTCCTCTCCCACCTATTACCTCTATATATACGAAAAACGCGCGAAATGCTTCAACTCGCACATCGGCTTGAATATATATATATATATATATATATATATATATACACTTGCCCATGCAAAATATTATAACGAACCTCCTCATTTTTCCAAACTCGCGAATGATGTGTTTTGTCGATCGATTTCACGGATTTAGCACTGCACCCCGGGGTCCAGCCGTTTGTATCAAGGCTCTGATAATTAAATCTCGAGAGGCCGGGCGAGCTTCAACTCTTCATTTTTAATTAAAATCGCGCCCGGGCACCACCAAGCGGTCAGAATATCATATATATATATAAGAATAAAAAGCGGTGAGGGGGGGGGGCGCCGGAGTGAGATGAGCCGTGGTCCAGGCCGGGAAATGAAAGGACACCTGAGAGAGCATTGCGGTGCACCTGTATACACGTGTGCACACAGCCACGTTTCTAATTCAACGATCAAGATGTATATGTATACGTACTGCGCGCGCTCGAAACTCCACGGTGCCGGATGAAACTTTGAACGGAAATTTATTGGTTCCTCAGCTGCTGATGCTTGTATTTATTGCACCTACTTTACGCTTGGGCTGATACCGTTACCAATCCCATTTTGCACGTCTTTCATTTAAACTTTATTTTACTTGGTATACATGTATTATTATATGTACGTTTGTTTCAGCGCGAGACGGACTGGGGCACCGTTGGCGCTCCTCCTATCGAACAAAGGTCCAGCCTTGCTGTACGCGACCCTCGCGACACCACAATTCATTCCGGCAAGCATGTATTTATACACACTTGTTTACTTGATTATTTATCATCGATTGCCCAGTTTGAGAAAAGTGAAAGAGGCGTTCGAATGGCAACGAGATAAAGAAAAAATAAATTTTTCAAAGATCTGGCTCTGTCGATCCGTCGACGCGTCACGAGCGTTCGACCGATAGTATTATTTATAAATTTTCAAGTAAGAGGCCGAGCGGATGATTTTATGAATTCGAGCGCATATAATCAATAAACGTGTACGCTACTGCACGGAAATAACTCGGATTCGTTTATAACTTTTGCGGGGGAATGAAAAAAAAAAAAAAAAAAACCACAATTCCGTGATAATCCGATACCGCTGATGGCATGGAAATCGCGTACTTTTCCAGAGAGAGGATTAAAACGAAATGCCGAATAAAACGTTGAAAATGCACCTCCAACTTTTGCGGGGATAAATAAAAATAATGGCAATAATAACAATAATAATGAATGTGAAAAAAATAAAAAATAATAACAATGACAAAGGGTTATATAATACGAGAGGAATAAAACGTGATGCTTTTTTTTTTCCCCGACACTCGTGGGGGGTGGGTGAGAAAGCTCACCGGGAATTCCGGAAAGAGCGAGAAAACGCGATAACGTAACTCACGTGTACCTATACACGTAAAAACGTGAATGGGCATTCGTGTGTGTGTGTGTGTACAGGGAGAGAAGATAAAGGAGGATTGGTGTTGGTGCCGTCGCGCCATCGCCCGGGGCAAGATCCGCGAAAAACGTGCGACGAGAGGAGTCGGGTTTATCGAGTTATCGAGGACGTGGAGCTGCTGCCTCCTCTGAGGCCGAGCTGCCGGGGCGTTAGCCGCGATTTTCGTGATCTCTCTCCCAAGGAGCAGCTACGGCGAACCACGTCCGTGCGATACGCGGCAACGGACGCCACTCGCCCTGGATACATCATAGATTCGTAAGTTGACAAACTTGTTCACGTCCCCCCACCCCATCTCTTTCCTCGACCCGATGCTATACCTCGGCTTCAATCTTCAATTTCCATTCCTCCCTTCGTAACGCATATCTATACGTATATATATATATAGGATGTGCAAGCCATGCATGAATAACCCACGTCGTCACTAGCATTTCTTTTTTTTTTTTTCAACCCTCATATTTTTCTATGATTTTCCACGTAAAAAGTTGTGGTGAAAATTCCTTGTGGGTACCTGTATGGAAATTAAAATCAACGTTTATGCGGGAAATCAAGGCAGTGAGGTGCTATCTTTTATCATAAAGAATTATTATGTCACGTTGAATAGTAATTTATAACATCCGCGTATCTAAAACTAACACTTTGATTGATTACCTTTTACCTTGAAAGTTATCATCCGTGGCACATTTGTGTTTCAAAGTTATTTATCGTCTGCGTATTTATCTACAATATTTATTTATTTTTGTTAAGATAGCAACAAATTTATAGAATAACTGTCTTATCCAAAAACCGATGGGACAATCTGACTACACGCATATAGAGCACGAGTCTTGTGTTGGCTGGTATACTGCAGTATACCAGCTACTCCCGAGTCAAGTCACAGTGTGTTAAGGAAGCTATAAAGCTAATTAAGAAAGATGAACATTTTTAAGGGCTACTCTTGAGACACACTACGTATATTTATTAATTAAAAATATCTTTTCTTGATTCAACAATTGCCTATAAATTAAAAGTTGTTCAAATTTAATTTTGAGATGATTTCAAGTGCCCGATGCCTGTTAATCGAATGAATCTGTTATTTAATTCGGAATAGCTCCTATTTAGAAAATATACAGCGGGAAAAAGTAAATTTTTTTGAATTTTCAATAACTTTATGTATTTATACATATAATTTTTCTAATCAGCCACTACAGACGACTACCTTTTTCCCTTTCACAAATAATGTAATCAGTTTAAAAGGCGCATATCAATCAATATAGCTTTATTTATTTATTTATTTATTTATTTTTTTTCTAAACACGTGATGGATAAAACTCTTACATCGATCTGCCATACACCTATTATTAAATTTGTTGTATCTGTAAGAATGATGAAAAAAAAAAACGCTCTCGCGCGCTTGAAAAACTCTACGAACCGTTAATTGTTTCAATTAAATTTTTGTTGCAGTTTGAGATCCTCAAAGGCCAACTGTCGAAATTACGCGGTACAGCTCGTCGAACAGATACGTCAAAAGCAAGCAATCTCAGAGGTACGTAAACGCATTTCCCCCCCCCCCCCCGATACTTTGAACAAGCTTCATCGATGCGTTTGCGCGGGAGAAAATGTAAACTCGATGAAAAGACAAGAAAAGCAAAAAAAATAAGCCAACGAATGATCATACCGGGGACGATGTTTAAAATTGATTTTCTCTGTGTGCACGTGAAACGCGCGCCACCCCCCACAGAAGGAGCATCGCAGGGACGAGGCCGAGTGTCGTCGGCACTTTGACGCGTGGGAGAGACTCTGGGGAAGCAGAATCGATCTGCAGCAGCTCCACCGGCGCAACAATCTCCACCAGATTCTCTACACCACCGCCGGACCGTAGAATTAGTCGTCCACCACCACCACAACCACCCCGTCCTACTGTCCGCGCTATATATATATATACATATGCGTGTACATATGTATAGATACTCCTATGTCCGCGCGTGATGGCATAATTTAATAACAAGTCCGAGTACATGATGGCTATTCATTGTTTGAGTGCGTCTAATTGGACGCCGCCGCTTTGGGTGCGCTCTACGTATAGCTGAAACGCCATACGCGTGTCCGTGTAGTCTCTTTAAGTGAAATTTTATGCTATCTTTGCACATGTCTTTGTTTGCGGCCGTAAGTATACGCGGGAGGAAATATCGAAAATATGGAAGATCACTTTGCGATGGCCGGTGTACGATACACGCTGCAATCGCCATGACATTATATATAATAAACCGCATTGCGTTGGTAAAGAAACATTGCAAATTCGTGAATTTTTACCAGCTGTTTTTATCCTAAAAATGACCATGACTCGTACAGGTAGATATCACCCGACATCACTTTATCATTTTATAAGCAACCCGTTTGATTTCAGTCATCTTGTTTCGTTTATCTGGTAGATGTACCAATGTAAACCAAAACTCTTTATGTTCACTGTAAATTAAAAAGTTTGTGAATCAATGGTATGGTCGATCGCTGGAAATTAACCCGCCGAGTCTCACACGACGCGAGAATATTGATGTTGCGGTAATAATCCTCTACAAGTTAACTACACGAGTGGTTGGAGTTACTTATAAACAAGTCTGACTTTTCGAAAATTATTTCACGCTACGGATTCGCAATAAGCGCGTGTACTATATATAATTCGCGCACTGTAAAACTTTGCTCGCGGAGTATCGAGTACACTCATTGATTAATATGAAATGTATGTGTGGTTGTGTTTTCATTCCTATATTGCCTAAATGGAAAATTGTCGACGTCGCAATTAAATAGTGCTGTGCTCTCAAATAAAAAACAACAAAAACGACAAAATGCCATGGGAAAAACAAAACAAAAACAAAAAAAAAAATGTAAGAAATGAACTAATTAATAATGCCATGGAAAAAAAAAAGTAAGAAAAAGACCAATTAATTATCCAGTTGGGGGTACAGTTAAACGGCGGATACTTTAGCCATTCGTTGAGCACGAAGATAACAAACGAGCGTATTATTCGAATACTCGTGGGCTCACATCGGTAGCGGTATGGCACTCGTAACAAAAAAAAAACAAAAACCCATATTATATTTACCTTCATTAAGCCGAAAATCTATCCCAACAGATTCACAGGGCGTATAATATACTCGCTCCACCAACTTTTATCCTTCTCAACATTATTTCCTCCCGTTCTTTTATCTCAGTGAACTAGAGAGATAAGCTTATACGTGAGTACACGTGAAAGATATCTTTTCGCTCCGGTATCTCCACCCTTGATTATTCCTTTTTTTTTTTTCTTTCCTTTTACCGCTCATCACCTTCTCTCCTGCGCGCTGCAAAGGATTTTCAGATCAAGGTACTTTATCATTAACATTGCTCAACAAGCGCCAGCGACACGTAATCGCGGGCTTTGATTTATCATGCTATTCGTAAACCAATACAATGCATTGTACCTAATGTGTGTGTGTGTACATTGGTAATTTATCGATGGACGGCGACTGCTTGGTATTAAGATGCCACAAGTTTGTAACTGCTGAGCACACGAGTGCACTTGCAATATTGAAAGGTGGTCGACGGTGAAATGTTACAAAGGTAAAAGAGTTGATTTTTGGATGATATGTATATACAGGGATAACTTTGTTAAATTGTCGAAGTTAACGATTTAATGCAACTGTATTGAACGAGTGAAGGTGTGATTGATAAAATGCTATCTCGTTCATTGAAAATGAATATTCGTCACTCATTTCCAAACTGAGGACTAACTCAATAAAGTAATAAGTCCCTGGAAAAATGTCAAAAAATAATTGAACAAAAAAAAAACAATTGATTTTCCGCAAGTACAAGTCGGGTTGTTTGCGATTAAAATATGTAATCGAGTAGCGATGCGCGAACAAACCATACAATGTGATGCTCACGAGCAAACATTATAGCCGAGCCCAAGTTTAATCAACAAATCGAAAGTTCCCCTGATAGGTAATAGTAAATGGAGGATCCAGTGTGTGCACGCGCATAACCTTTAATCAGCGCTTTATAGAGCGACACCATAGTAGCAAGCGATAATTACACGAAATCACACAACTGATTGGACCAAATTTTCTGCCGTGCGCGTTGGAGTGGCACTAATGCATCAGTAGGCTCGAGTGACTTGATTTCGAACAAAAATCACGTTTCAACACCAAAATTGTTGCAATCAACATAAAATGACGATTTTATTTCTCCAACTATTCAACTATTCTCTAATATACATTGTACAACGTTTATATGTAGGTGGAGTGAGTTGTAACACGGTAATAAAAAAATAAAAAACTTGGTGAATAGATGCCACTATACTAATAAAAAAAAAAAAAAAAAAAAAAATGAGTTTTGTATGACACCTCTCAAGTAAAACCGAGCCAATTTTTTTTTTGAAATAACCTATAGAATATAAAATAAAAGACAAAGCCACCGAGCCAATTGTAATGTCTGATTGTGTTGAAACTGTATGATATTGAAACAGGAAAAAATCGATAAATCAAGACATGTCGCTCACTTAATCGCCAATCTGGTCAAAATATAACTCTCCTCCGTTGAATTTACAATATCAATATTTCGAAGTTTAAATGTATTTAAATATTAGTGTTGGCGTCTATCGGAGCGAAGTGTCACGGTAGATTTTAAGCGAATATAATTAATTTACTGCCTCGCTACTTCGAGACAATTTTTCACAAATATAAGATAAAAACCAAACACATAACAAGTATATTTAATGTATATAATTTATAGGTGTGAGTGATGACCGATGAATGAATGTATACAAGTATTGTGGACAAATAGCATTGATGTGGCACGTGAGCTGGATGATTTCTTTATCCAAACAACAAGATTGTGTGTCCTGCCACACTTGCAGCACTACCTACTTCACGGACCTGCACGGGCGTTGACTTATGGCCACTGCTATCTCATGTTATATGACAGAGTATGTCTTTCTCTCGGGGGGCCAATAGGTTTTACGGTGATCGACTACAGTATTGTATTATTATTACCATTGTGCCGAGCTAATTTACAACCGCCATTGTACAAAATACTCGAGGCCCTCGCATTTTTCTCTGTCGCGTTCGCGCCAATTTTATTTATCTGGTTTAATTAACTACTGCGCTCAAGCACATGCGCGCGCACAATGTGATGCATAAATAAATTTGTACCTATTATACCGTATATGTGTACACGCGCGTGTCCGTATATATATATTCAGGCTGATGGTTAACGCTAACGCGTCAATTCACGCCTAAAGTGTCGGAGTTGCGTCCGATGCGGGCTTTATATATATATATTGGTGCAACGGCGGCCACAACAAAGGCCGAATGGTCCAATTACGCTCTCGTCTCTCGTCCGTGCCATTTTTCTTCTGACTTGCGAGCACAGGCAAACTAAAATTTGCATTAAAATCTCATCAAGCGGTGCCCATCCCCCGCTAATGTATGGCCCAACCCTTTTGCCACCCTCTCTTTTTTCACGGGTTCACCGCGTAATTCATGCAATCTGCCGTGAATGCCAGAAAATCCGCGCGATGCTTTTGAAAGTTGTCCAGTCAAGGATTTCAACAAGCGTTTTTTCCATTCGAAGATTAGCAGTCTCAGCCATAAGCTGGCATACTATTAATTATACATATCCATGATCTGAAATTTTGCTTGATGTCCTTACGGTGTGCTTATGCAGACTTACATTTTTTTTTTAATTGTTCAGAATATTGCTTTTTGGTTACTGAAAAAAAAAAAAAAAAAAAAAAGTCTACTCGGAATCTCAATAAATATTCTACTTGTTTAATCTACGAAAGCATAACTGCTTATAAACTCGTTCGAATCGTTTTTATATTTTTAATGAAATTGCAAACCCATTTGTAATCTTGTAACGTATGCTATTGTAAGTTTTCTGACACTTATCAAGAAATTTTGAGTAACAAAAATCATGAGGGATTTTAGGATGGACTTGTGAGATGAGTTAAAACAACAATCCCTACAACAACAATAACAACAAATGCAATTTATTAAAAAAGATGTCATATTTATTACATTATTAGTATTAATTTTTTATACACACAATACATGTAATCAAGTATATTACACATTATACATTCTGCAAAATGATTTAGCAGTATACCAGTGATTTCTCCTCTTTCTTAGTAATAAAATTTTTTTTCGCATTTCCTCATATGTACACTTTCATACCGTAGCAATAGCATTCATAAAAAGTCTTAAAAACATTGTTAAACATTTTTTTAGTCATACTTCAATGTACACATTATAAATTCATGGGGCAGTATCCGCTTTTGTAGACTAATAATAATTATATTGATGTCACCACTTGAATAGTAAATGTAATAAGTATAGTTATTAGTATAAGCAACGATAGTAGAAGTAACACGTATACAGTAATAATAGTAGCAATAGTAGTAGTAGTAGCAGTAGTAGTAGTAGTAGTAGTAGTAGTAGTAGTAGTAGTAGTAGTAGTAGTAGTAGTAGTATCAGTAGTAGTAATGGTGGTTGTAGTAGTAATAGTAGTTTTGGTAGTACAAGTATAGCATAGTGATGGAAGGGATTTTGATATATTTTTAGGTATCCCTACAATATTTTGTTAATGAGCACATTCCTATTTACATCGATCAAATATTTTATGCACATACTTAATTACATGCTTGGATATTGAAAATTTATATAGATTTATTACATTCGCCGGCATGGTTCTCGGTATTATAATTAGCATACATCACGTTCATCACGAGAAACAATATATGTACATAATATTAATTTTATCGTTTTTTTTTTTCCTCTTACTGTGGTTTCGTATTTGTTGTACGCATTCAATCTCCAATGTTTATCAAAAATTAATAAAAAAATGTTTCATGCAATTACTACTTTTAGTTACACCGATGAAAAGGTAAACAACAAATTTTCGTTAAAACATGGCTATATTTTTTGTCATTCACGACGTTGCTTTGTATTTAATTAAGTTTTCCAATTTAGTGTAAACGCCTACATCGGTTGGTCGTTTGATTTATTCGTTTATTATTTAAATGACGCCTGCCTGGTACCAAGTCCTGCAAAGTGCCATAATTTACTTTCGCTTCTCCCACCACTTTACCTATATTATATATTTGCTTTTCAACGGCTCGCACAAGTAAAACATAATTAACCACCAACTAACTAAAAAATACACATACAATGTGAATACTGATAATATCCATCATATAGATGAGCGTCTCATGCTATAGCAATGAATGATTGTCTCGGATGATACTTCATTTTGTACACGACTCATGTAATGTTGAATTCAATACGTGTATAAAAATAAACTGATGGACCAAATGACTTTCGAACTTATCATTTATATAATATTAGGTGATGACCGGCGCGAGTTCCCGAACACGCCCGAGAGCGTCGGCAACCATATCGATGTTGCAGTTGAAAACGGTAACAAAAACGCTTGTGATAAAGTGACGCAAGGGATTCTTACGATCCTCGTTGCAGATATTACAATGTACATACGAATAGTAGATCGATACATTGTAGGCAGTGGAATACTTTCGAGGTAAGAGTCACGTGCTGTAGCGCACGCGGCAAAGAAAGACCCGAGATGGACGTCTCGTTTGAAGAGAGAATGAGCAAGTCAAGCTGACGCGCGTCGTAAAGTTTTTAAAAAGTCCGAGCTGAATGAGCTCGCCAAGTTTCGCCCCGTACCGGCGAGTTTTAGTTTGCTCGGCGAGGCTGAAAAAAGAGTGAGGGGGGGGGGAGGAGGAGAAAAAAAAGTGCATCAGAGGAAGATCGTTAGGATGTGCATGAAAAAGGAGTCGAAAGAACCGACGAGCGAGAGAGTGGAAAGAAGAAGTTAAAAGGGAATTTGCTAGTTATGGCCGGGCTATAAGGCGTGGGAGGAGTAGGAGAACGAAAACGAGGAGAGAAAAGCGAGGGAGGCCCCGTTGTTGCGGGAATCTTGAATAGAACGATAGCGATAACGAAACTTTGCTCGTTTAGCAGGCAGAGTCACTCCACCCCACTTTTTTTTTTTTGTTGTTTTTTTTTTTTTTTTTTTTTTTTTCGTCGCACAAAGATTCCTCACGCCGGAATTTCGGGCTAACGACGCAGCTTGCGGCCCCGCCTTTTCGGCGAACGAATTGCCCCCGTCTATATATACATATATACTGCCCGAGACGCTAGTTTGGTTACTTGCCACTATACGCATGTATACCTATAATGCGTGAATAAAGTGCGATCCCGCCTCTGCGCGAAAAAGGGAAATACAGACGAAGAGAGCAGATAAGGGAAATACAGTCTCACAGGGTTAATCGTAGCCATTGCTATAGGGTAACACAATATAAACACAGAACGCCAATTCACCCAGTTCTAAATACGTACACGCTCGCACACGCATTCGTTCGTTTCAATCTATTATGCATATGTACTGTGGCCCACGCAGCCAATGGGATTAGCCCTATTTGGCCCTTTAGCGTTGCCAACCCGCCCCTTTGCTGTTTGTCGGCGCATCTGTGTATATATATATATATATATATGTGTATGTGTATGGACGGGCATCGCTTGACGAACAATGCCTGATAAGTTTACGTGTAAGTACTTACCCCACGTACATATATAATATGTATACTTGCACAAACTACGTTTTGGTGCGTGTAAAATTACTAAGACTTTAGAACATCCCCCTCTAAATCGTGGTGGTCCTTTGGTCATCGTTTCTGGTTTTCTTCATCTCTCGATGCTTAATACTGTGTTTCATTGCTTATACTTTCTTTTTATTTACGATGATTCGCAATAAGTGTACATACGCATAATATATATTTATAAAGACTTCACGTTTGGCTACATATTTATATCTACACAACTGTGATACGCGAGTGTATAGGTATACTTGATTACTTGGCGTTGAACGCGTTTGTAAAATTCCAAGTCTGTCACTCGCGGTCACTCGTTCACATGGTCACACACACACACACACACACATACACACAGAGGCACACAAAATGAGGTACAAGTACTTACATTATATAATTATATTTATAAACATGCTTATTGTGGCACTGTTGTTTCGTTTCCGGTTGTCGTGTATGAATATGTACACGACGGCGGCGACATATTAAAAATCTATACATCTCAGTTTCAAATTCAAATTATGTAGAGCTACGATGCAAGGGAGCGATCAATCAGTCGTATAAAGTCACGCGAAGCGAGTTTGCGCCCGTTGTTTTTTTGTTTTTTTGTTTTTTACTTTTGGCCCGGTTCATCTGATGCTAATTGTTTTTGTCGCCCTCTAATCTCATCAGGCAAGTAGTACGAGTCAACGGCAAGGCGTACTTGAGTCAATGTGTAAAATTGACGGGAATTTCGTTAAGTATAGGTATGCACAAACGTTTGTAAAACAATGGTGTATAGTTTATAGGCAGTGAAGGTGTTACGGACAATAAAACTAAATGTCACGTGGACAATATAAAAACACACCGTATGTATATACGCATGGGGTATTCGAGGATGGCCAGGCTCCGACGCAAAATCGAGCCGCAACGGAGTGAGTGCGATGTTGTGCGTATGTGCAGTGCTCCCTTACACGTAGCTCGTGTGTTATAAGCTGGGCGTAGCACCGGGACAGCTGCTCTTGATGAAGCTTGGCGGTTGGTGCTGTTGGGTCTGGCTATCGAGACTCGGCGCGGCTTGGAGCTGTTGCTGGAGATGGTGTTGCTTGTGGCCCGCCTCGCCGCTCTGTATGCTAAAGTGCCGGTACGATATGTACTCGGTCGGCATGGCCTGTTGATCCCTCTTGGCTGCCTCGCGCTGCTTCTTCACCTGTTTGCAGTCGGACACGGTTGTCATGGTGGGGGGTATCATCGCGGGACAAGGTGATAATTTACATTATGTATACATAATTATTTTCGTTCGGGGACAAAAGAGCAGGTGAATCAACAATACAGTTATATAAATAAATTCGCGCGCGACGGTGCACAGTTAGTTGCAACGCCGAGGTTGCTTTCGTCAACTCTCTCCGCGTCTCTCTCAACTCAGTGATGTGATTACATCTACGTTTTAATCAACGTCACTGTAATACACTCTGGCAATGGAGGCTTCAAATTTACCTTGTCCCCGAGCACTTGGGTTTAACAACATCGCACGATCAAGCGAAACTATTCATTTACAATTAATATGGTCATGTTTGTAAAACATTTGATCAAGTGTTTCATTCTCAAAGTTGCAAATTTGATGGGTCACGTTTGCGTATAACTCCAGAGTGTATAGAGTCAACGAATATTGATTTTGGACGGGATGACTAGTATTGTAATTGCGCGTGGTGATAAATATGTTCACCTGTGTTAATATTATTATTTTCTACTCGAATAAATTGAATGGACAATGTTTTCTCTCCAGTGAGAATGACGCAATGTACCTCTCGAATGGGGGGGTCCCGTAAACTCAATGAGGGATCATTCGAGTCAAAGGATAAATATTGGTTGTTGTCTCACCTTGAGGTAGCCCAATACGGAGACGAGGAGGAGAAAGACGACAAAGCCCATGCAGCAGCCGACTATGAGGCCGAGCCGGCGCGTGAGTACACTGTTAGCGGAGGTGCTTTCCTGCAACTGGCTGCGATCGCCGCCTTGAAGGGAGGAGCCGTCGCTACTGGCCACGGCGTCCGGCAACGCGAGGGTGATGACGTCGGTGCACCTTGACTCGGCGTCCCGGTGTTGCTTGCCCTCCCGGCCGTCCAGACCCAAAACGCACAGCCGGTAGCGCGTGTTCGGCTGGAGCCTGCCCAGCCGCACGGAACGCGAGCTCGGCTCGAGCACGTGACTGTGCACCTGAAACGCCACACGTGCCCCTTACCGTCGTTGTTGGGGCGTGCATGGGCACGGGGTCGGCGTGAGTATAGGACAGGGCTCACCTCTTGCGGCGCGTCGAGGGCGTAGAAGGCGACCTGGTAGCCGTGGAGGCCCGAGTGGTTGCGGCTTTGCCAAGAGACGAGGACGGAGAAGGGCTGGACGTCCTGGACAACGAGTTTGGCTATCAGAGGAGCAGTGCAGAAGGCGCTAGGCTCGAGGTCGAGGAATACGAGGCCTCGGAGCTCGGGGGGTTGCTCGCACCTCAGGGCACTGGCCTCGGTGTTGCCCTGGATTTGGCCTCGCCTCGGACCGGGGCCTATCAATTTTTGGTGGTCCCGCAGCCACTGCCACAACTCCTGGGACTCGCAGCCGCAGTTCAGGGGATTCTCTGGGCACGCCAATTTCACGTGGTGTCAGTTTCAGTTTCGTCATTGGATTTTAATTGAAAATCAACACGCGGCTTTGCCAAACCAGAAAACTCTTTGTTTCTATTTATGCACGATTAAACCACGCAAAGTTTATTATGAGTTGACGCGCAAAAAACATTGTATACATCATTCATTCAACAGTGTTGTGATAAATTGATCGAGAAGGAGAATAAATTTTGCTTCACGCAGGTAATACGTTAATAATTATAAATCTCATTGCCTCCATACGATTGGAAAATAACAATAATCAATATTGTTATATAACAATATTGGAGAACAATAATCCAAAGCACCTAAGTACACACATATATATGTATATATATTATAAACTAGGTATAAGTCACCTTCGGCGCGCAAACTCCGAATCTGCGTCTCGAGGGGCCGGAAGGCGTTGAGGGGCAGGTTCTCGAGGTAGTTCCTGCTGAGGTCGAGGAGCCGTAGCTTCTTGAGTGGCCGGAACGCCTCACCGGACACGGCCGATATCCAATTGCCGTATAGGTGGAGCTCGACCAAATTGACGAGGTTCTTGAAGGTGAGCTTGCCAACGGCCCCGATCTGGTTGAAGGACAGGTCGAGCATCTGGAGGGCCTTGAGGTCCTCCGGGAACTCCTCGAGCTCCTTTAGCCGGTTGCGGGTCAAGTTGAGGATGCGGAGGTGCTCGAGGCCCCGTAGCCGCTCCTGGGGCAGGATGTCCAGGCCGTTGCCGCCGAGGTGGAGGGTCAGGAGGTTGGGCAAGCTACGGAAGGCCCCAGGGGAGACCCGGGATATGCCGTTGCGCCCGAGGTAGAGGTTCTGCAGGCCGGGGAACGCCTCGAACTCCTGGCTCGTGAGGATGCTCAGGTTCACCTGCTCCAGGTGGATCTCCTGGAGAACCGGCAAGCTAACCGGCTTATCACCGTAAACGCGTGTTATCGGGTTGGCCTACAATCAAAGATTTTCGACGTATACTCGATGTTCCACGGATGTAAAGTTATTCATTGGTGCATACATTATATACGAGGGTTGCATAGTCAATGGAAAAAAAAAAAAAAAAAAAAAGATTTCAGGGAGTCAGAGGCCGAGAAGGGAAAAAGTCGCTCGCACCAATGAACGCACGGAGGAACGAGAGTAATGACAAACCGTCATGTTGAGCCAAGCGAGGCCGGGGAGGTTGCGCCCGGAGAGCGCGGCCGCGGGCAGCTGGTGGAACTTGTTGCCAGAAAGATCGACGCGCCTGAGCTGCGGCGAGTTGGTGAAAAAGTTGGCCGGTAGGGAGTGAAGCTCGTTGTGGCTCAGATCGACGGAGAAGAGCCGCGACAGGTTGGCGAGGGCAAACCCCGACATCGACTCGACTCTGCGGTGGAAACACTCGTCGGAATACTTACTTGATATTAGTTGCTTGAAAAAGACCTACTCGATTGTCAATCTTAGCCTCGAGTGAGTTTTTCTTTCTTTTTTTTTTTTTTTTTCACCATTTTGCATCAGAGTGCATCAGATGTTTTATGTGACTATTAAGTATGCAGTATATGGCTGTCACGGTTGTTGCCGATGGTAAAAAGGTTTAGCCTGGACGAGCAGTGGGAACTAGTAATAATATTATTTATACTCGACCAGCAAACGCAGAAAGAAAAAAAACAAAAAAAAAAAAAAAACAGAAATAATAAAGGCATGACTCACAGGTTGTGGCCGAGGTCCAACTCTCGTAGTTGGCGCAGGCCCCGTATCCGGGAGGCGTCGAGGTGTCGGATGGCGTTGCGCGCCAGCGAAAGGACCTCCAAGTTTTTGGCTCCGGCGAGGGCCTCGTAGGGGGTCTCCTGGAAGCGGTTGGCCTCCAGCTTCAACTCGCGAAGGGCCTCCAGTCCGAGCAACAGCTGCGCCGGGAGGTCGCGCAACAAGTTTGAGCCGAGCAGTAAACGCGACAAGCTCTTGCACCGGTGCAAAAACGTCTCGGGCAGCCGCGACAATTGGGCTGACTCGGCCTCGAGTTGCAGCAGCGAGGGCAGCCCGGCTAACGTTTGCGCCGTTACCAGGCTGAGGTTGTTGTGCGAGACGCGGAGGATGCGCAGACCCGGGATGTCGAGCCTCTCCAGTTGGAACGCAGGAAGTTGATTGAACTTCAACACAACACATACATACATACATTTAGATATCGCGTAACTGTGCTACGCGCAAACTTCGTTGTTTTCGCACGATTTACCCGCCCGTTGAATCACTTGTTCATTCACGAGTCTACATTTTTTTCTTTTCTCTTGTTTTATTCATCATTTTTCGTAAACTGCCCAACAAAGTATTTTTCAAAAGCTGCATCAATCGAATGCCCGTGATAATTTTATCAAATGAAACAAAGCGCATAGTTTAAAAAAAAAAAAAAAAAAAAAAAAAAAAGAAGAAATTTGTCAGCCTGATAGTCACCTCGAGGCCGAGCTCGTAGAGATTGTTGAGGCCCCTGAAGGCCCCGCGCTCGATCGTCCCGAGCGAGCAGTTGCGCAAGCTGAGCGAGCGTATGGGCAGGCCCTCCTGGAACATCGTGTCGTGCAGCACGCCCAGCAAGTTGTCGCCCAAATCTAGGACGCGCAGCCGCTTGAGAGCCGTGAGGGCGTAAGCAGCGATGCGCCGCAGTCCATTGTCGCGTAGGTGGAGCTCCTCGAGTTCCCTCAACTCGGCGAACGTGGCCACGCCGATCTCGGTGAGCCGGTTCTGGCTCAACTCGAGGAACTTCAGGGCCTGCATGGGTCGGAACGCCGCGTCCTCGATCCGCGAGATCGAGTTGTTGGTCAGGTACAGCCGCTCGACCTGCAACCCCACCCCCAAAAATAACAATTTTTCCCGAGTATACGAGTTTTTGGCGAAATGTCAACCGAAGGGTAAAGTGGGCCTTATTCTCACCCCTCGTCCGATTGGGGAAAAAAAATCAAAAATAAAGAAAAAGAAGAATGTAACCCTCAGCCGAGCCATGGTTTTTAGGATAAAGTAGAAAAATAGCATTTCTTATTTATGTAAACAGGGACATTAAAATGGTACAGTAATAGCAAGTGACCGATGATGAGCAAAAAAAGTGAACGAAACGGGGTAGGGATAGAAAGGAAGAAACGGACCTGCAGCAGGTCCCGGAAAAGCGGCGCCTGTAGCCGCGTCAGCTTGTTGTGCCCGAGCCACATGACCTTGAGCGAGGCCTGACCCCGAAGGGAGTCGTTGTGCAGCACCCCGAGCCCATTGCCGTCGAGCTGCAAGGACAACAAGCTCCCGAGCTGTTGTTGGTGGTTGTCCTGCTCCTGCCGGAACACGTCGCCCAGCACGGCCAGCTGGTTGCCCTGGAGGTTTATGTGCTCGAGGCCGCGAAGCGAGCGCAGGGCCCCCGTTTGGACGTCCGTGATGGCGTTGTCCTGCAGGTGGAGCTCCTGGAGGCCGGGCAGGGGCGCGAACACCCCACGCGACACCTCGGCCAGACGATTGTCCTGGAGCCGGAGCTCCCGCAACCGGCCGAGACGCGCAAAAGTCCCGGGCTCGAGGTCACGGATGCGGTTGTTGTCGAGGGCCAGGGTCGTCAAGTTAGCGCAGCAGTGCTCGAACAGTTCCGGTGGCAGGCGCTCGATGTAGTTGAGGGTCAGGTGGAGCTGCTCGAGCTCCCGGAGACCCGCCAAGCCACGCGCGTCTATCCTCCGAATGGCGTTCTGGGGGGCAGGGGGTGTGAGTCGTTGGTATGTACGTACTCTTGGATTGTGATTGTAGCACGTGCGTGTTGCGTGCGATTTGCGTGTATACCTGCTGCAGGTGCAGTATCAGGAGCTTCGTGCTGCCCGCGAACGCCTCGGTGGGTACCTCGAGGACGTTGTTCTCGGCCAGTTGGAGCTCGCGTAGTTCCGGCAGGCCCGCAAAGACCGCCCCCACCTTTGACCAAACAAACGTCACCAAGTGCTGTTATTTTCATCCCTCCACCTTACGACTTGGAGGTATGGCACCATTTTTTATGATACCCCCCCCCTCCCACTCCCATGAAATTGAAACAATTCTTTGATAATATTGATAATAGTAATGATTGCTTTACGTGGTGTAGGTGGTTGTGGCTGAGCTCGACGTTGCGCAGTCGCTGGTTGGCCCGGAAAGTTTTGCCGTCCAGGAAGATGATCTTGTTGTGGCTAAGATCGAGGGACTCGAGCTCTGCCAGGCCGATGAACGCGTCCCGGTCGACGTTTTCGAGGCCGTTGTAATGGAGGGAGAGACTGCGAAGTCGCGGGCAACAGCGGAAGCAGTTGAGCGACAGAGTTGAAAATTCGTTTCCGCCGAGGTCGATGCTCGTGAGACCCTCGAGTCGGGAGTAGCCGTCACCCGGTAGCGTTGAGATCTTTTTTTTCCCGATTTGTTTTACATTAAATTTCTCATACATTTATACGCATCTACGAGGTCAATCAGGGGCTATTCGTTGCTCAAGTTCGTCAAAAATGATTTTCAATTGTTATGAAAAAAAAAAAAAAATATATACTTTTTAAAAACCCCATATAAATTTTTACGGTATACTTTTGCACGCGATACGAAAACACGCAACCAAACGTGTCGTACATGAAAAAATACTTTTATTAACATATTGTGCCTGTGAAATATTATTCAGGAATATCTATAACAATTTGACGAGCATAATGAGATAAAAGAAACAAAATGAAGCATCCAATCACAGTGAGAACTACTGTTCTTGGGCGACTTCCCAACCAGTTTCAACTAGTGAAATTGAAATAAAGAAAGAATCTTGACAGTACCGAGGATAAAAATAATTAAAAATACACATATACTCACAAAATTCCAAGCCAGCCGAAGCGAGTCGAGGTTCTCGAGTTTCCGGAGTGCCGGCATGGGAAAGTGCTTGAGCCTGTTCTCGGCGAGGTCGAGCTCGGCCAGGTAAGGCTCGAGGCCCGCGAAGGCGTACTCGGAGACCTTGGCTATCCGGTTGGCCTTGAGACTGAGCTTGACCAGCTTAAGCCCGTAGAAGCAGTACGAGGCGAGCTCCTGCACGAGGTTAGCCTCGAGGTCCAGGGCCGCGAGACCATCGAGTTCGGCGAGGGCGCGTTGCGGCACCTGGACCAGGCGCCCCGACACCAGGGCCAACGACTCGAGGCTGGACCGCAGGCTGCGGAACGCCGTCTCGGAGACCTCGCGCAGCGACGAGTGCGACACTTGTAGCTGGCGCACGAGCAGGCCCGCGGGGAAGACGCTGGCTCGGAGCTCCTCCAGTCCGTCGTCGAGCTCGTGCACCCTCACCGACTGCACGAGCGTCTCTACGACCCCGACAACCAACCGTTAAAACGCGCGTTATCATAGCTACTCTTGTTAAGTTTTACCAATCATTTTAATACCTTTTCCGCCCTCGGGTGGTTTTGGGAGGCTGGTACTTCCTCGGGCGAAAAAGCAGTTTTCCGCAACTCGTTCGAAAAGTCTCCTTTACGAACCTCGTTACGTCCCTC